CCCCCCCTTTTAATGCATGCTCACTGCTTGCAGAGGCAACAGTATTTGTGCTTGTAATCGTGTATAGTTCACGTGGTATTTGCATGTCAGCACGGTTGTTTTTGGAGTGCTATGCACTGCTTGGGAGAGACTGCTTGTTAAAGGTAATTACGGGAGAGACCCACTGCAATTTGAAAACAGTATGTTTTGTGGTGTATTGGGAGAGGTAGGGGGGGAAATAGGGTATGTCTGCCCAGAACCAACAGCGTGGGCGACGCAGGGGTGTAGGACTGCTCATGGCTGCAAGGGTGCCGCAGAGCAGCGTAAGCACAGCTCACGAGCAGCTGGGGTATTGCCGCGGGGGGGACTGTGTTCCTCCCGCTCAGTATTTGTTTCAGCAAAGCACAACTGGCCTGGCCGCTTGTATTTAACCAGTCAGGTTACGGAGAGCGCTGTGTGAGTCAGAAGCAAGAGCAGAAGGGGTGACCCCCCCGCCCCCGGCAGCCGTGCCTTGCTCTCGCTGGCGCTGCCCGTGCCCTTGCAGCTCGCTTCGTGCTCTGAGGGAGACGAAGGCCTCCGCAAAAGCCTCGCGGCCAGGGTTGAGCCTGGGGTGAGCGGGCTGGACTGGTGAGGGGTGCTAGCCTGGGCTCCTGCCGCAGCTGGGCAGCATCCACCGGTCAGCCCAGCTCTGCCGGCGGCCCTGCGCAGCGGCACGACCTCTGAGCGGGCTGATGCGCTTTGGTGGGTACAGTGCTGCCTTGCCGCTTCACCCTCCCCGTCTGGAGACAGCTGAAGGTCAGCTCTGACCGTCACCTTTCCTGATGGGAGGTTTGTCAGCCCTGCGGTTCCCTCTTCTGGCCCCACGGTCCCCGAGTCTCTGATTTCATGCTCAGAGGCTTTCTGTGGGCCGAGACCTTCGTTTCGGCGTCCCCCGGCGGCTTGCAAGGAGGCAGTCCCGTGCGTGAGGCAGCAGTTTATAGGGGAGTTTGGAAAAGCCATCTACAGAGGGATAAAGAGGCTGAACACTTAATGACATAGGTAAAAGATGATATGTATGAATACTTGGCATTCTTGTGGGGCTTGGTTATCTTGTATCTATGATAATGTGTGTGTGTATATAAATAGAGTATGCATCTTAGAAATATATTGCCCTCATTCCTATGACATTTTTATGGTTATTTCTGCATACAGAGCCCCCAAGCCTGCCCATAGCTGGCACGGTGGAACCAGGACAGCGCTAGACCCAGGACCCAAACCAGAGCCAGGCTTTGAAATGAGGATATGCAGGCTGGGGCCCTCCTGCGGGGCTGAGCAGCCTTATGGTCCTTCGTACAGCCCCCTGCCTTCCTGCAGTCACAGTGGCAAGGAGGCCGACCAGGAGAGACCCCAGGCACCTTCCAGGAGGCAGATCATCTGCTACAAGGTCCAACGGCATCTGGGAGCGTCCCAGATGGGGCAGATTCTGGCTGCTGGAGAGGGGTGATGCAGAGGGCAAGTGATGCTCTGGGATTTGGAAGGTCTTTGCTGTAAGGGATGGTGTAGACCCAGTCCCTGAGTTTCTACCATGCGCTGCACTTGTGGCACTACAGCCATGGTAATTTCAGGTGGGAGAAGGTGTTGGTGTGGATGGAAGTTGTAGCGATATAGATCACACGGATGATGGGGCTGTTAGACTGGGTGAATGAGAAATCCTGGTCTCTCCCCTAGGTTTAAGCATATAAATATGCAACATCAGATGTATGTGGCAGTGTGAAAAGCCATATCGAAGTCTCTCAAGTCCTAGTGCATAGCATGAAACTATAAGCATCTTTCCTCCCGCTGTGTGGTAGCGGGGAAAGGAAGAATTCGTTTTGGCTGCTTCTTTAAGAACCAGTTTTTAACTAGTGTTTTTCTGGTGTCTGTGTTCTAGTGCTTTAGTCACTTTCATTTTCACTATCTTCAGAAAAATCCATCCAAATATATTTGAAAAAACACTACAAAAGCTCTGACTTGCTCCTTTAGATTTAAGCCTCTTATGCCATTTGATCCAGCAATTGCTGCATTTTTAAATCTCCTTTTGTTTGTGGATTAGTCTTTTTTTATCCCTTCCCCCCTCCCCCCCCCGCTGTTCCTTTAGTGTTAATTCACAAAATAGAAGCTGGGTTTTTTCCAGTTGTCTGAATTAAACATGGTCAGCTTGAGCATCAGTTTAGTCCTTGCTAAATCTAATATTGGCATTTCAGTATTCAAAGTGCCCTGGGCTACAAGAGCTTCTCTCTTTGGCTGGCCACGCATGATGTATTCAGACTCGAAGGTTTTAGGTAAACAGTCTGGAAATGAAAGTATCTCATTCAAGGAGGCAATACAGTGTAAGGTGGTGAGATGGTAAAGTCTTGATGAAAGCTAGGAAGGTAAGCAGTTTCTCGGGAAAGCAGGAGGGAGCCGTCTGTGTGTGTAGCAGCTCAGGGTGCCACCACCTTGTCATCCGGGTGGGTGCTGCACTTTGGTCTGCCAGCTTCCACCGTGGAGCTGGGGCTCCCCGGGGACTTGGGCAGCCACTGGCAAGGCTCTCTGGGACAAGTTTTATCTTAAATTAGACATTATTACTCAGTGCAAGGAGCTGAGTTATGCATGTGCATTGTGCAGAGGTATGTTGTAAATCTGGAGCAATAAAATGGACATAAAAGCCTTTATCTGGATAAAGAGTCTGGATTTAGCCTTTATGCAGCCTGAGGATGAGTGTGAATTTTGAGATTCATTTGCAGAACTAATGCCTGCAAATGTATTGCTGAATAATCTTGTCTATTGCTGCATCTGGCCAGGGATAGGGGAACTGCATTCCTCAAGATGCTCTAGCTAGTATCTGGCTGGCTGATGGCGGAAATGTCAAAACTCAATAAAAATTAAAAAAAAAAAAAAAGAGAGAATGAGGAACCAACCTTTAGTTCAATTTTGCTGAAAAATACAGATTGAGTTGACTTATTTAATGGAGATTCAGTCACCTGAAGGAAGGATCATTCTGTGATGGAGAAGTTGTGGAAGACTCTTTGGAGGTAGTCAAGGCATGTTTAGATACTAAGTTATCTCTATGGAATCATTGTCTTAGCTCATGTAAATCAAAGAAGTGCTATTGTAGGGCTGCTCTGTTTGTCTGAGGTTTCTGGACATCCGTTTGTGTGTGTCTGGCTCTGTGCTGCAGAGCCAGGAAGCATCACAGGTCCTAGAAGCACAATCTCCCACGTGTGCCTCTGGGACTCTGCAGAGCTCCCCCCTGCCTTTGCTATGTGTCCAGATCTGGACAAATGCAGAAAGTTCCCAAATTCCGCCTGGAGGAAACGTCTCATGAGGAAGGAGAAAACTGCTCATCAGAAAGGAGGATGTGTCCCCTAAGACTGGGTGTATGGAAACCTTCTGGCCAGTGATTTCAGTAAAGCTCTCTCTTAAATGCCTTATATCGTGGACTTGGCCATAACGGGCCAAACTGTGTTCTTGCACTTTCCTGCATCGCTGAGTCTGGAGTCCATGGGAGCCCCGTGCCTGGGGAAAGTTTCAGTTCTTGTGCTGATGTTTTAACCACCAGATGGTTTCTCCAGTTTCCCTGCTAAATATATATATATAATTTTTTTTTTCCCTTGAGCTACCTGATAAGGCTAGAAAAATGTCCCTTTCTCTAAACCTTTCCCAACGACGCATACAAAAATGCTGGGGCATTCTTACTGAGAGATTTTTTTTTTTATTGTTGTTATTATTTCCAATGTGGTAATTCACTGGAATGTGGAAAATGCTGCTGTTGGAAGTATTTTCAGTTGAAGCTCTTAATGCTCTTCTGTGCTTGTAATAATACATTAGCTCTGATGGTGTGTTAGCTTGTTCTGAAGCTTAACAGGAGTCTTCTTCTTTGAACATATCTGAGAAGCTATCAAATCATCTTTTAGCTGAAAGTCGACAAACCTCCTTGGAAAGGAGTTTGTGGCGGGACTGTTACTAGTCTCAGCCTTAGTACTCTTCACAACATTGAGCTAACCTAGCAGAGAGCTGGGGCAGATCCCAGGCGTTAATCCTGGTAGCCCTTTCAACGTGTGAAGCTGCACCAAGTGAAGCTCTGCCTAGGTGACATGCTAACCTTTACTAAGGGCATACTTAGTGGGAAAATGGTTGCTTGTCCTCAACTTCTGACTGCACTTGGGAGCTATTCAGGTAGGAGATGGGACAGGATCTTTGCTAACTTGCCCCGTTCCTACAGCCGCTGGGCTGAATGAGCATGCCATTGGTGCCAGGGCAGCGATTTGGGAAGGGACACCTCCACCCTGATGTCCTCCCTGCCGAGGAGCCTTGAGGGGCCTTCTGCCTTCTGGGTCAGGGGAGCAGCAGGGGAGCTGCTCTCGTTTCCGAGTATTGCCATCTCTGAGACCAACGTGTGTGTAACCACTTGAGGATGCCCAAAGCCAGGTGGTCAAAGGGTTGCTTTTGTTACGTAGCCTTGTGGGTGTTCCTACCTAAGGCTTTTCAGACAAATAAAAAGAGAAGATCCCTGCCCTGAGTATGCAGTCTAAATTAGAGAGAGTGTTGGTGATAAACATAACAGGAAAAACAAAGGATTAAAATCAATGAGAGGTAATAATCTGAATACACATAGGAATCTGGGCTGAAGAAGGGAAACAACAAACCATGGGTGGAAGTCAAAGGCCCTAATAAATTGGGGATTGATAGCAAAAACAAAGCCATCTGTTGGCAGCTGAAAACAAGAGCAGAAACAGCTTTCTCTCTGTTCTACTCAAATTGTAAAAAGTTGGCTGAATTGTGTACCGATATTTTGAATGATTTTTTAAGTGGTTATTTTAAATGTTGTATTTAAATGTAACAGATACTTTAACAGTTTTAAATTTAAAAAAAAAAAGCTAATCCATTTCAGGAGTTACTGTTTCATGATGTGCTAGGAAGGTTGTTTAACTTTGTGCCTAGATTT